ACATTCGATACGATTCATACGAGACGTGTCCACGTGTGGCCTGAACTGCCCCGTGTATGCCAGTGTTTACAAGCCAGCCAGTGTGCGCGCATCTAAGGATACATTCAGTACATTCCATATTATCCATATTATCACTGTTTTTGGTGCTTGTTTCTGCAAAATAAGTAACCATGGGCCCCGAGAAAGCTTCTAGTGCCAACCCTTCGAGAAAAAAGGTGCTAATGACTATTGAAATGAAGAAAGAAATAATTGCAAAGTACGAAAGTGAAGTGCGTGTGTCGGAGTGCATGATGATTTGGTAAAGAAATTGCCTGCAACTAGTGGTGATGAGTGAATTTAAGGCCAGCAAAGGTTGGTTTGAAAGATTTAAGAATCATAGTGGCATACACAGTGTGGTAAGGCATGGTGAGGCTGCCAGTTCAAGTCCTAATGGAAGGGGATTCCCCTTCTAAACACTAACACCATCCACACTCTCCCCTCCTCCCATCCCATCAATCATCACCAGATCTTCATTAAAGGTAAGTGTCAATTATTATATTGTTATTAATCTATTGTTATTGTTGTTATTGTAATTGTTCTATTGCATTAAACTTGATATTTCATGTAGTAAATTTTTTTTTTCATACTTTTGGGTGTCTTGCACGGATTAATTTGATTTCCATTATTTCTTATGGGGAAAATTAATTCGACTTTCGATATTATCAACATTTGATGGCTCTCAGGAACGGATTAATATCGAATGTCGGGAGTCCACTGTATCTACAAGCACTGTATAGCACTTTGCCTGGAATTTTTGGGTTATCCTAGGTAATTTACACTATGTGTAATAACTGTACTTATGTATACCTGTGAAAGACAGAGACAGACATATAGACGGACAGATATGTTGACAGAAACAGATACAGACAGCCAAAGTCAGTCAGCCAGCTAGCCAGCCGGCTCGCTGCCACCCTGCCAGCCGGCCAGCCTGCCAAATACATATTACACATGTTCCAGAATCGTTTCTTTTTATTTAGGGCATAGGTTATAGGACATTCTGGCAGGATGACACTACCAGTGGTAGTGTTATTATCAAGGTTTTTGATATTTCCTCGACCACTTGTGGCCACATCCATCTCAAAGCCACCAAACTCTGGATCAACATCACTTTCCTCTTAAACGGGGTTGTGTGTTAATATGACATGACATTAACGAATCCCTGGTGTTTGCCACGCTATTTGCTCTAGCTGACACTCAATTGAACTGGTGCTCCAACAAGGTTCTAAAGGGTCCCAGATTTTTTTAATACTGCACACACTGAATGTGAAGATCCATACTGTTCTGACCAGGCATCTCAGGTCAGTCATGCCAAATTTGGAGGCATGAAAAATAAAACATAGATCTACGTTTGGAGCACTAGCGGTACAAATGTAGATGTACGTTTGGACAGTTTAAGGGTTAAGAATGTTGTGTTAGAGTGTTCAGCAGAAGTTTGTGGTTACAGGAAAGTGGGTGCAAGAGGGAAGAAGAGCAATTGGTGGAAAGACAATGTAAAGAGAGTAGTAAGAGAGAAAATGTTAGCATATGAGAGGTTTTTGCAAAGTAGAAGTGATAGGAGGAAGGAGTATATGGAGAGAAAAAGATGAGTTAAGAGAGTGGTGAAGCAATGTAAAAAGAGAGAAAATGAGAGAGTGGGTGAGATGTTATCAACAAATTTTCATGAAAATGTGAAAAAGTTTTTGGAGTGAGACTAGTAAGTTGAGGAAGCCTTGGGAATGAATGGATTTGATAGTTAAAAATAGGAGAGGAGAGTTATTAAATGGAGAGTTAGAGGTATCGGGAAAATGGAGGGAATATTTTGAGGAATTGTTAAATGTTGATGGAGATAAGGAAGCTGTGATTTTGTGTATAGGGAATGGAGGAATAACATCTTGTAGGAGTGAGGAGGAGCCAGTTGTGAGTGTTGGGGAAGTTTGTGAGGAAGTGGGCAGAATGAAAGGGGAAAAGGCAGCTGGGATTGATGGGATAAAGATAGAAATGCTAAAAGCAGGTGGGGATATAGTTTTTGAGTGGTTGGTGCTTTTATTTAATAAATATATGGAAGAGGGTAAGGTACCTAGGGACTGGCAGAGAGCATGCATAGTTCTTTTGTATAAAGGCAAAGGGGGCAAAAGAGAGTGCAAAAATTGTAGGGGAATGAGTCTGTTGAGTATACCTGTTAAAGTGTATGGTAGAGTTATTATTGAAAGAATTAAGAGTAAGATGGAGAGTAGGATAGCAGATGAACAGGGAGGCTTTAGGAAAGGTAGGGGGTGTGTAAACCAAGTGTTTATAGTGAAAAATATAGGTGAACAGTATTTTGATTAGAGTAAAGAGGTTTTTGTGGCATTTATGGATTTGGAAAAGGCATATTACAGGGTGGATAGGGGGGCACTATAGCAGGTGTTACAAATGTTTGGAATGGGAGGTAAGTCATTGAAAGCAGTGAAGAGTTTATATGAGGATAGTGAGGCTCAGGTTAGAGTATGTAGGAGAGAGGGAGATTATTTCCCAGTAAAAGTAGGCCTTAGACAGGGATGTGTGATGTCACCATTGTTGTTCAATATATTTATAGATGTGGTTGTAAGAGAAGTGAATGCTTGGGTGTTGGCAAGAGGTGTGGAGTTAAAAGATAAAGAATCTAACACAAAGTGGGAGTTGTCACAGTTGTTCTTTGCTGATGACACTGTGCTTTTGGGAGATTCTGAAGAGGACTTGCAGAGGTTGGTGGATGAGTTTGTTAGGGTATGTAAAAGAAGAAACTTAAAAGTGAATATAGGAAAGAATAAGGTGATGAGGATAACAAAAAAATTAGGTAACGAAAGATTGGATATGAGATTGGGGGGAGAGAGTATGGAGGAGGTGAATGTATTCAGATGTTTAGGAGTGGGTGTGTCAGCAAATGGGTCTATGAAAGATGAGGTGAATCATAGAATTGACGAGGGGAAAAAGGATGCAAAGAGGGGAATGTATGAGAGCATAGTTATACCAGCACTCTTATATGGGTGTGAAGCATGGGTGGTGAATGTTTTAACAGGGAGAAGGCTGGAGGCAGTGGAGATGTCATGTCTGAGGGCAGTGTGCAGTGTGAATATAAGGCAAAGAATTCATATTTTGGAAATTAGGAAGAGATACAGGTTTACCAAAATTATTATCCAGAGGACTGAGTAGGGGTCGTTGAGGTGGTTCTGACGTGTAGGGAGGATGGAACAAAATAGAATGAGAGAGTATAAATCTGTAGTGGAGGGAAGGCGGGGTAGGGGTCAGCATAGGAAGGGTTGTAGGGAGGGGTAAAAGAGGTTTTGCGTGTGAGGGGCTTGGACTTCCAGCAAGCATGTGTTCATGTTAGATAGGAGTGAATGGAGACAAATGGTTTTTAGGACTTGATGTGCTGTTGGAGTGTGAGCAAGGTAACATTTATGAAGGGATTCAGGGAAACCAGCAGGCCATACTTGAGTCCTGGAGATGGGAAGTACAGTGCCTGCACTCTGAAGGAGGGGTGTTAATGTTGCAGTTTTATAACTGTAGTGTAAGTATGCCTCTGGCAAGACAGTGATGGAGTGAATGATGAAAGTTTTTCTTTTTTTGGGCCACTCTACCTTGGTGGGAAATTGCTGATGTGTTAAAAAAAAAAAAAGTTGCTGCTGCTTCAACAAATCATGTGTCCCCCTCTTTCAACTAGATTGCCACCTCTAAGCACTTTCATCATTGTTCACTCTATCACTGTCTTGTCAGAGGCATACTGGCATTACTGCTCATATACTCCTCCAAAGTACAATATCCCTACTCCTTCAGAGTGAAGGCACTGTACAGGGCTTCCCACCTCCAGGTTGTTGTTCCCACCTTTCAGTTGTTTTAACACTTGCTACTGCTTCTTGTAAACCATTCCATTGATTTATTAGTTTACCACTGGTAGCTTCTCTTAGTTTATAGTTATGGCCTCTTGGCCATATAATCTTAAATGTGATTATAATGTCTGCTTGTTTCCTCCTATTATCTATAGATAGCACATCCAGTGCTTTTAGTCTTTCTTAATAGCTCATATTTTGTGGCTCTGGGAACTGTTTTGTTGCTTGCTGTTAAACATTTTCCTAACCTGTTGGCCTTTTTTTTTCTTAGGTAGAGACATCATGGTATCACTGCATATATAATTTCAATCTGAAGTATGTATATATAGGGCAGTGCCAGGCCAGCCCTGCCCTGCCCTGCCCTGCCCTACCCTACCCTACCCTGTCCTGCCCTGCCCTGCTCTGCTCTGCTCTGCTCTGCTCTGCTCTGCTCTGCTCTGCTCTGCCCTGCCCTGCCTTGCCCTGCCTTGCCCTGCCTTGCCCTACCCTGCCTTGCCCTACCCTGCCCTGCCCTGCCTTGCCCTGTCTTTCCCTGCCCTGCCCTGCCCTGCCCTACCCTGCCTTGCCCTGCCCAGCCCTGCACTTCCCTTCCCTATCTTTGATCATTGAGCCTAAAGCCCTGGGTTGCTTTAAAAATATGTTGGACAAATATATGAGTGGGAAAAATTGAATTGGAGTAGGACCTGCCTTGCATGGGCCAGTAGGCCCATATTTTCATGATTCATGCCAAAGCATGATTTTCGTGTGCCTGGGTATGTAGTGATTACTTTTTCTATCAGTCTTCATTGTTTTTCTCATTTGTGCCTAGTGAGGAAACCATAGACATTTTCTTTTGCTCTTATAATAATTTTGTAAATGTTCTTTTTGAAGGGTAGGTAATCATATCAATAGGAGAGTTCAGTCCATGTTTCTCTATGTTACTATATCTTTAAGAAGAGTGTCAATGGAAGCATTTTTTGTAATTTTTATTGGGTAGGCTCTTTTACAGAAAAAGGATTTTCAGTGAAAATTGGAATATTCTTATTTGTAATTTACTATGTTATGCAAAAATTATGAACTAATTTGTGTTTATCTGTGTGTATTTTAATTCATGTTTTCTTTGACCCTCTTGTAAGCATTTATTTGGTATGACAGTTCCAGAGTATGGGCGCATGATTATCAAGAGCAAAGTACCAAGAGACACCTTAATTACATTAAAACACTTGCAAGCAATATGTGAACTTGATGACCGATTACGTTCTCCAGCAGAATTTAGACCTATATGTGAAACCTGGTCCCCTGGACATTGCTGTCCTTCCTGGTCACTTCCAAATTATGTGGCACTTCTTTCTAATCGTACATCTTGTCACTACATTACGGTGAGGAAATTTATTTATACAGTATTATATGCAGTCAAAGATATTTGAATGTGCTAACAAAAGTAACAAGATTAGTATGCTTTCTGACAAGTGTATCAATAAATTATCATTTAAGTATTGTAGTATATAGTGAGTAAACTATTTATCCTTGGTTTTAGAAACCCTACTTTTCATAGTCTTTCTCTCATGAATAGTTCTTTTCTTTAGCTAGTTTTTTTTTTTTTTTCCACCAGGGCAGGGTGACCCAAAAAAGAAAGAGACACTTTTGCCATCATTCACACATAATCACTCTCTTTGCAGAGGTGTGCAGATATGACAATTTAGATGTCACTAATTTATTTTATCCTCCACATATTAAAAGATGACTTCTCATTCTCTTTCCTTTTTTCCTAGGTTATACGTTGTGAATGGTGTTATGAAAGATGTGAAGGCTATGTACTTATTGTATTATTGTATAAAACAAAATTTAGAAAATTAGAAGGAGATATACAGTTGACCCTTGAGCAACGTGGGGGTTAAGGGCACCAAATTCCTGCGCAGTCGAAAATCTCCACATAACTTTTGACTCCCGATAAACTTAACTACTAATAGCACACTGTTAACCGAAAGCCTTACTGGTAACATAAACAATCGATTAACACATATTTTGTATGTTATATGCATTATATACTGTATTATTTTAATAAAGTAAGCTAGAGAAAAGAAAATGTTATTAAGAAAATCATAAGGAAGAGAAAATACATTTACAGTACTGTACTGTATTTCTTTTTTCAACAAACCAGCTGCATCCCACCGAGGCTGTGTTGTGTTTATTGACACCATAAGTTTACGTCATCTAAGTAGTAGGTTGGTAGACAGCACCCACCCAGGGAGGTACTACCGTCTTGCCAAGTGAGTGTGAAATGGAAACGTGTAATTGTTTTACATGATGGTAGGATTGCTGTTTTTTTTTCCCTCTCTCATCAACATGCTGGACACCAGGTATATCATAATTGGAAGTGGAAGACTCAGATGAGTCAGACGGATGTTAGAAAGTATTACTTCAGTTATAGAGTTGTCAGGAAGTGGAATAGTCTGGAGTCAAAAGGATGTTAGGAAGTATTGCTTCAGTCATAGAGCTGTCAGGAAGTGGAATAGTCTGGAAAGTGATGTAGTGGAGGCAGGAGCCATACATAGTTTCAAGATGAGGTTTGATAAAGCTCGTAGAACAGAGAGAGAGAGGACCTAGTAGTAATCAGTGAAGAGGTGGGGCCAGGAACTATGACTCGACCCCTGCAACCACAAATAGGTGAGTACATACCCCTCTGAATTTTCTTCTATTTTTTAATAATCCTTGTTCTTTATTTCCTCTTATCTCCAAGGGAATGTAGAACAGGTGAAGAGGCGACTAGAATGCTGGAAACAAGGGGCTAGTAACCTCTTCTGTATAAATTACTAAATTTTAAAAGAGAAACTTTTGTTTTTCTTTTTTAGGTCATCTTGCTTTGGTGGGATACAGCCAGTTTGTCTGTTACTACCTATATCAATGTTGTCTTATGTGATACAGAACACTGTAGATGTTATACGTGGCACTTCTTATGGGTCCCATGGTGTTATTCAAGGTTTACAGTATTGCACTAAACATGTAAAATATGCGAGAACCATGAAAGATCACTTTTTACTGCGATATGCAATTTACTGTAGAGATGAACTGCTCATGTGGAGATGATTAGTGTCACATGGCATTTTAAGCAGATACTGGCAACACTTAAGCTCACCACAGTAGCAACAGGTAGTGGCTGTGAAATTATTACAATAGTATAGTATGTACTACAATTAATTTTATGCAGCTATGATTTGATGTTGCATCTTTACGTTTGTTTACATTTCTCTCAATTACGAATGGTGCCATGTACAATCTAAGTTTTTGTGTGCATAAGTTTTGATAAATTTTAACTTTTTATAATAGGTTTGTGTATATTTTATAGTAGTATGTGATAAAATAGACTAGTATCTACATATTTTTTTATGCGTTCATGATATATATAACTTTTTCTTAATTTTTTCTATGCTTCTAGGCTATGTGGTTCGTTTATTTCCAAAAAAATTTACAATGTATTTGTTGAAAAAATCCTCATACAAATGGAGTTGTGTAATTCAAACCCATGTTGTTTAAGGGTCAACTGTATTTTCTTTGGTTCAAAGTTTTGTTAATGCATGTGCAAGAAGAGAGCTGAAGGTTGATTTAAATAAAAGTAAAACTATGCAGTAGAAAAGAGAAAGTATTGGAATCTGTTGATGAGTTTGGTTATCTGTTGATGAGTTTGGTTATCTGAGGTATGTGAATGACGTAAGAGAAATTTATGCAAGTAAAGTTGAGTGTCGAGCAAGTCAGAGAAGCTCAGAACTCATCAAAGGCAGGAGAAAAAATGCAAGACGAGATACAGGTAAAGACCTATGTGAAAATGATTGTTTAACCCGTTGACTGTTGCAAGCCCCTTTTTGAAACTCATTCTGTGTCAAAAAATTTTTGGAAAAAAAAAAAAAAAAAATTTTCTTATGAAATGATAGAAAATCATTTCCTAATGGTAATGGCAACAAAAGTACGAAATTTGATAGAAAACTCAGGGAATTACGCTCCCGCGAAGTTTGCGGTCTTGGCAACATATACTCATCGGCGATTTCGCTGACTTTGAGCCCTGTTTTTGGCCAATTCCATTGTTCCAGTTGACGAAGCTCATAGCTGTTTCTTTAGAACTCCATTTTTTCTATCAATTGAGTACAAGAACCCACCCATTTACTGATTTCAGCTACCCAATAAAGTAGTCAGAAATTGGCAGTTTGGCCAATTTCACGCAAATTAAAAAAGATGCCAATTTCAAAATAGGGTCCAGAATAAACAATGTAGACATTCTTGGCACTAAAATATCATATCCTCTGTTCATTAGTCACATGAATACTGTGCTATAGCAAGATTGAGGAGTATGCAAAGATGGTGTGGCTATGTTAAATGTATGCATAATGGTAATGTGATGATGAAGAAACTGTATTTAACCCTATAAGGGTCCGTCCCATAGTTCTATGGCTTTGAAGCCAGGGTCCAAGCTTTAGTACAACATCATGAGCTTGGCTCACTCAAATAAACTGTGAGTGGTAAATTTGGTCTAGATATGAGAGAATGCATCAGTGTGGTAAGTGTGCACCATATAAAACAAATCTTGCAGCACACGGTGCATAATGAGGAAAAAACTGCGACCATGTTTTTGGATTTAAACAGTGACTTTGTGGTGTATTTTCATATGGCTTTTACAGTTGTATTTTCAGTTTCTTTGTCTCATATGAGAGAATGGAAGATATATTACAGAAACAGAGATGATTTTGATTGGTTTTAGCCCCTTAACTGTCCAAATGTAGATCTACATTCTCTCTCTCAGTGCTCCAAATATTTAAAAAAAAAAAAAAAATTAAAATAAAAAATGCATTTTCCTACATGTAATAGGATAAAAAAATTTAGGGTCGGTACTTACCAAGATACAAATAAGACTGCAAAGTTGGCGCTAGATGCTCATGTGACGGCAACATGGAGTCCTGCCGCTTGCAGAAGTGTTGCCAGTATACCTTTTTGTCTCTTTTTTTTTTTTTAATTTATATAATTTTTATGTTCTGATAATTACAATTTGTAGTAGTTCTTGTGATTTCATAGCCAATGTTTGTTCTGACTCTAATATTAGGTACTGAAATAGTACTCAAATAGACACAAACACTCTGACAGGTGAACATTTTCACCTGTCACATACTATTTATTTTTTTTTTTTATTATCACACCGGCCGATTCCCACCAAGGCAGGGTGGCCCGAAAAAGAAAAACTTTCACCATCATTCACTCCATCACTGTCTTGCCAGAAGGTGCTTTACACTAAGTTTTTAAACTGCAACATTAACACCCCTCCTTCAGAGTGCAGGCACTGTACTTCCCATCTCCAGGACTCAAGTCCGGCCTGCCGGTTTCCCTGAATCCCTTCATAAATGTTACTTTGCTCACACTCCAACAGCACGTCAAGTATTAAAAACCATTTGTCTCCATTCACTCCTATCAAACACGCTCACGCATGCCTGCATACTGTTGTCTAGAAATATATACAAAGTATTTATAGGTCCCAGCAATGTTTTAGACACGCTGGAGTATACACGAAACTCCTTAAAGCATGGTGTATGACGAGTGTCACTCCACTGCTGACAGTGCAGCAGTGGAGTGACATTTGAGGATCGTGCAGTGCCTTGGCTTTGTTTGTTTTCACTGTTACACATAAACATGTCTGTCTATATGTCTGTCTAGCTCCCTCTGTTTATCTCTGTTTCTGCTTATTTGTCTTTCTGTCTCTCTGCTTGTCTCTCTTTCTGTGTCTCTGTCTGCTTGTCTCTCTTTCTGTCTCAGAGAGAGCGGCTCATGAACCAACAGGTATTACACACGATGAAGAGTTATCAAGTCTGATTTCTGAATGAGTGAAAATGCATATTACTTGCCAGTCATGCTTATTATGCATTATATCTACAAGCACAGTATAGCATTTCATCTGGATTTTTGGGGTTATCCTAGGTAATTTACACTATACTGTATATAATTGTATTTGTGTACCTGTGAGATAGAGACAGAGATACAGACACTCAGACAGAGATAGAAACAGCCAAAGTCAGTCAGCCACCCAGCTGCCGGCCAGCCTGCCGAACACATATTACACATTCCAGAATTGTTTCGCTCTACTTAGGGCATAGGTTATAGGACATTCTGGCAGGATGACACTACCAGTGGTACCATAATTGAAAGGATGTTGCACAAATGCTTCACATGGGTTATTATTGAGGTTTTTGATATTTCCTTGACCACTTGTGGCCACATCCACCTCATAGCCACTAAACTCGGGATCAACATCACTTTTCTCTTAAAAGGGGAGTGTTAATAGGACATGATATCAGTGAATTCCTGGTGTTTGCCGTGCTATATGTTCTAGCTGGTTCTCAAT